AAAAAAAAAAAAAAAGAGTTAAATGGATTAATATGTCAAGGTGCTTAGGGAAGAGCCTGGCATAGACCAAGGGCACAGTGTGCTTGTTAAGTAAGTAAAACTGGAGATGGAGGCAGGTTGAGGTTTCTGGAGGCCCCGCCCTAGCTTGGCTTCAAAATGGGATTCTTTGTCAAGTAGGAACTAGAAGTTCTGGTTAGAAGTGCTAGCTGGGATGAGAAAGTAGGCCCCACACCCAGGCCCAGGGAGAGGCCTCGATGCAAAATGAAGGGAGGGGGAGACAGAGGAAGACAAAAAGAACTAAAAATGCTTAGAGATGGAAAGACAGGGTAGTGGGAGACGACAGAGGCACAAAGGTGCAGAAATAGACAGAGATGCTCAGGGAGAAACAGACTTTAAGAGAAAGAGATGCATAAGTGATCCTCCTGACTCAGCCTCTGAGGTAGCTGGGACCACAGGCTCCTGCTACAACTCCTGGCTAATTTTTCTATTTTTAGTAGAGACAAGGTCTCACACTTGCTCAGGTTGATCTCCAACTCCTGAGATCAAGGGATCCTCTCTCCTAGATCTCCTAGAGCAGTGGTTCTCAACCTTTCTAATGCTGCGAGGTATTTTCATTGTTACAAAGGGGTCACGACCCACAGGCTGAGAAGCACTGTCCTAGAGTGTTGGGATTACAGGCTTGAGCCACTATGCCCAGCCCGTGGATTCTTTACAGCTGGATCTGTGTTATTCAAGAAGTTGGCCTCAGTTACCACCAATCCCTTGCAGTGATGATATACCACTCTCACTCATCAGAATAGCAAAAATTAAAAAGGTCAGTCCTGCCACTTACCTGTGTGCCCAGATCCTCCGCCTCCTGTCCCATTTCTATAGGCGAATAGTCTGCACCTACAACTAAGATGGACCCCTCCCCTCGTGAGGATGTGGTTCCAATCAGCAGTTCTCTGATGTCTTGCTTGCATCATCGATTCTTTTTTTCTTCAATGAGCAGTCCCATTAACATACAAACAGGTTATCATTTGTCCCACCTTTCTTTAAAGTTTAAAAACACACAAGAACTTTCTCTATCCTCATGCTTTCCTTCAGCTCCTGGCCCATTTTCTGCTCCTTATGTTTGCAACCCCTCCCTAAAACGTTGGCTCAGCTTACCGTCTGCAATTCCTTTCCTCCCATCCTCCCTCAAACCCACTCTATGAAGCCTTTCTATCCCACTGCTCCACGAACCATACCCCTGTAAAGAGCACCAGTGACCTCCATGTTGCTGAATCCAGGGGCCTGCTCTTCATAGTTCATCTCATTTGCGTTGTCAGCAGGGCTTAACAAGTGGATCACTCCCTGTTTCTTCAAAGATTTTCTTTCCTTGGCTTCTGGGACGCTATGACCTCCCGGTTGTCTTCATAGCCTACTTGGCTGATCTTCATCCATGTCTGGTGCTGGTTTCTCCTCACCTCCCTAATCTCTACATGGTGGCGCACCTCAGGATTCAGTCCTTGGCCCTCTTCTGTCCTCTGTCTACACTCACTCCCTTGGTGACCTCATTTGGTCTTGTGGCTTTAAATACTATCTACATGCTGACGACTCCCAAATTTATGTCTC